AACAAATCTTAAAAATATCTTAAAAATATCACAAAAAATGAAAAGATTAAAATGTTACAACAATGTTAGAATTGCAATATTTTCCAAGTTTCTGGAAAATAACACAAATAACAATATTACTTAAATCAACTAAAAACCTGCAACGGGTTCAATAATCAATATTATTTCTACTAATGATTATAAAAATCATGGAGATTTATAATTCTTTGAAAATTATTATTGCAAAAAAAGGTCTAATTAAGGTCCAAATAGTAATCAGTTTGGATTCAAAAATAAGCATTCAATCATTAAGCAAATATACAGAATAATAAATTAAATAGTTGCTACACTACAGGATAAGCAATATACTACAGCTATTTCTATGAACATAAAAACACTTCTAACAAAATATGATATATGAGACTCTTTAAATTTATCAAAAATCTCTTTCCCAGGCAAATTTTAAACCTAAAGCTTATAGTTAACCAACAAAATTTTTGTAATAAAAATCAAAAAATTATCACTGATAAAACACATTAAAAATAAAAAAACATATTAGATCCAATTACACATTAGATATTATACACAGCTGATATCTTGATTACAATAAATAGCAAAATATTTACATTTATTTATAATAAGACCATATTTGTTACATACATAAATTTTTAAACAAAATCACACTTCAAAAGTAGAAATATGGCTTACAAATAAAAGGAATAAAACAAATCTAAAAAAGTGCAATTTCTTATAATAATTATATAATAACAACATACATAATTTGTATGCAACAAAATTACAACAAATTTACAAAAGATACAAAAAAGAATAACGAAATACTCCAACTAGCAGTAGAAATTTAACTCAAGAAGATAAATTAAATTCAATTTTATGATAAACCTAACAGAAAATGACTAAAACAAAAACTTTGAATTTAATTTCAATGTAAAAGAATAAAAAACAGAAAATAATACTGAACGTCATTATAATAGGAATAATGTCATTGCAATAGAAATTAACATTATATGATAATAAATCCCAAATAACAGATTTACTAAGTATTAAATAAGACAAATTGAAAAAATATGAAAATATTTAAAAAAAAAATTGAATCTTTAATGTAATGTAAATCATATTCATTATAATGTCTCAAATTTTAAATTTTTTTTAAATGCAAATTTCTATTTTGATTTAACTATATACTTGATTATATCTAACTATATGATTCATTCTTTTTTCATAGTAACTACATTACAATTCCAATATAATTGTTTTAATGTACCCCTATAAATAAAATGTATTAATATTTTCTCAGATTAATACATCAAAATTTTTAGAATATTTTCAATTCGTACAATATTTCTATATAATGTACTATTTAAGAAAAAATAAACTAATATCCTACATATTTATATTTTATTTTTATTGAAAATATGTATTAGTAAACTGATGAAAATTTGCTAGTATCTACTAATGATCATTGACAAAATTAGATGTACGTTGAATTTTATACTAAAATATCCATACAAAATACTTGATGAAAATAATAGATTGTTGATTATATTGATTGCTACTGATAGATTGCTCATTTAATAAATGACAGAAAGTTAAATATTTTTAAACAAAATTACTGTTCAAAAATATTTGTACCATCTTGCATATGTTTGGCAAAGGAATTAAGAGTTCCTTTTTTTATGTACTTATGAATTCAGAAATGATCACAAATATTTTTATAGAAGAATTAAAATAATAAATATTTTTTCTATCATTCATTTGTCTAAAATCATATGTAATTAATTATTTATTGTAATTGCTACATCTGATCGTTTTATTAGACTGAAATAAAATAAATAGAATACCATGATTTAACATCATACTTTTATATTATATAACAAAAATATATAGTGATTTTATATTTAAAAATTTCTTTCTCAAAAACTACATCAATCAAATAAGAAATCAAAAAATATATTCTATTTTTGTAACAAATTTAAATTATTTACATTTGTTTAAATTAAAATATAAAATCAATACTCACTAATTTTAAAAATGGATTTTCTTCTAATTTCTGTAAAAGATCTGGGAAATATCCACCAACTTCTTCATGAACAGTCCCTACAAGACTTATTTGGTGGAGAGGGCCGTATCTAACAGTACCATTACTATAAGCTTTACACACTTGTTCTTTGTACTGTGCCATAATTGTAGTTTCTATATCACTGCTTCTTCCTAATACACCATTTTTAACAGTCAATGTAGGATAATTATCTGCCATGTAATCCAAAAGATCAGGAAGATATGCTGCAGCATTATGCACTATTCCCATAACATGATACGCATTACCATTTTCATCTTCTCCAAAAACTACCTGTAACATATAATTTGCTTATTATGTATATAATTATGTATATAATATACAATTTATATAAGTTCATCAATTTTAATGGACCATTAATAAATAATCTTTTAAAATAAGTACAATACATGTAAAACAGAATTAAAATATGATTATTTTAAGTATTTATATTAATTTGACAATTTTCAATAATTGAAAATTGTCAAATTAACTTGTATTTACATACTTTGAAATATTCTTGAGCTAATTCCTCTATTTGTTCATGAGATAATGTATCAATTTCATCTTGATACATATGTACAACAGTTGCACCACCATTAGGATAAGTTTCTATGTGAATGAATTTCTTGTACTTTAGGCCATCTAATAATTCACTTTTAACTGGTGTATTGTGAAGCATTTTATAATTCTTTGTTTGTAAATTTAACCTGAGATTTTCATTTGTTGATTTTGAAAATGGATGAGACATTGGCTTACTGTTTAATGGAACTATACTACGATCTCGTTTACATTGTACACCAATACTTGCTCGTTTTATTTTACTACGTTTATAACATCGTGAGCAATAACGTCGTTCATTATGTTCTTTACTTCGTTTTTCTCTTGAAGATGAGTATGATTTAGAATGGGAACTTGAAGATGTAGTACCAATACAATTTATTGATTTATCTTGAGATAATACGGCATCTGTTCTTCCAACTATTGTCGTGGTTGTACTATCACTGGCCCAATCTGATTTAATTATGCCTAATTGTTCTTGAGAATTTGTTACTTCTGTTTTTACTTCGACAAGTTCTGATTTGACATCCCTGTGAATTGTGTCCATTTTATTATCTATTTTTTCTTCTTTGATAGATTTTATTTGCATAACAGGAACTTCTTCGATTTTTTCCAATTGTCCACAAAATGAGTAAGAAAGATTTTTACAAACTTTAGCAGTTAAATTATTTGTATTTTCTGCATCATATTTTGCTGTATCCATCACAATAGTCGAAGTCATAATTGGCGATGTCATACTACTAGGAAGTGTTATATTTGGACTATTTGGCCCATCAGAAACTCTTGGAGGATAATCTGGACTTCTTGGACTACTAATCACTTCGCCATTACTTTGAGGGCTTTCTCCTAACTGAGGTGTGTTACCATGTTCAAAATTTACACATCCTTCTAGTTTTGTTGACAATGTGTGTATTCCACTAGATACTGTTGTATCTTTACATGCTAAATCAACCTAATAAATAATTATGAATCCTGATTAATAACAATCCAAAAAGTTTTGTTATTTAATATTATTTTGATATGAAATTCACAAACATAAATATACATACATGAATAGCATGCTGAACTGGCTCAATTAAAGTTTTTACTAATTCATTGTTACAATGATCTGGATTCCCTATAATGTACAATGTTTATTTTAGAATATAATTTTAATTTTTAGCTTAATTAATGATTGAATACATTTATATATCTTTCTTATATAAAAGAATAAATATTTTATTTTTATAAGTATGCAAGATATGTCATATGATAAAAATATATTTTTAGTATTTAATAGTTATCAATAAATATTATTAAATTAATTCCAATTACATGTAAATATTTATTAAAATTTTATTAAAATTTCTATCGTCATAATAACCTATTAAAATAACTATAAACAATAATTTCATCAACATAAATATAAACACGTTTTACACTATAGTTTTTTAGCGTATCATTTTTGAAAATAAAACTATATATAAGAATTCACGCGTATTTATATAATATTAAATAAAGTTGAAGATATTACCGTCTGGTTGTTCAGAAATACAGGCAACAGTATCCAGATCATTCCTTTGGTTGGACATGCTGCGCGATTCCAAAGATGATGTACGTAATTCAGTATTGACGGCAATTTTAAAACTAATACGTTCCTCCACATCACCAGAAGAGCTCATGAAATTCACGTTCCTTCGTAATTCGTCCTCTTCCGTGTTTGTATTAAATGATGACGCTGTAGAGAAAATCGTGGGCGTCCTAATTGAATGTAAAGCGAAATTGTCCGAAAATTCGTTTGTCTCTTTAATAACACTATTCCACGTTGTTCTCGATACTTTCACATTGGTTGTTTCCGTTTGTAATGGCTCGAATATCTGCTGAATCGTATTATTTACATCACACCGTTCGTTTGACACGATACTTGTACCAGTCTCGGATGCCATCTTGATTCTGTGAGCGATGTCCTGAACATAACGATACTACGCAACATTTGATTGGATATTTCTTAGCCGCCTTTTGAATAGACCTTATTCTATTCGTCTGAAATCGGTTAAAGAGTAGGGGTAAGACCAGTGAATATAGAGGTATCATGAAGATTTTTATTCATTGGAATCTTCGATCCCCAATCTTATCTTCTTTGTGATTTTTTGATTATAAAGAACTATATATTCCACATAATTCTCACATTGCATGACGAATGATAATCAGCATTTAAATATAAAATATTATGCATAATATTGAAGTAATTTACATTATTATGAGCACACATATATGTATAGGTATATATTTCACCGGTAACTTTAAAAATATTTTTGAATTTGATCTGAATTTTGTAAATTGTAATTTTTTTCGATTTAAATTTATAATTAGTTTCTCTAAAGATTGGTATAAATTTTAAAATAAACATAAATATAATCTGAACAAAATATATCTTTTTATAATTTTTTTTTTTTTTTTTTGTTATAAGAGATCATGCGAAATTATATACATTTGTATTTTAATGAAGTAAACAACATTCATTAATATAACAAATTAATTACTATTAAACGATCAATACAAGGTTTTCTAATTATAAATAGTAATAATATCATAGATTTTGTCATTTTTCTTTAAACTAAAATTTAAAATTGCAAACTCCTTGTCGCTAATGTAATTACTAAGTTGCAATTTTTTTATTAATCGACAGTTGTTCTTAAAACTATATATTCAATGGCGATGTTGATACGTCATAAATGGAATATTGATTAGAATTGAATATTGAATAGAATCACAAATAGGAATAATTATAATTATTTATCAATATCTTATTATATTATACAATGTTTAATTCAATTCAAGGAAACAATAATATTATCTTTTAATTAGATTAAAATTTATTAAAATTATATTTAGATTTAATTATTTGACAAAGCATTAAATATGCATAATAATAAAAGACTTTTATACATATTATAAAATTTTATTTTATAGCATATTTTATATTATAAGATTTTATTTTGTATACGTATAAAAGATAAGATGTTACTTATATATAAGTAATAAAAAAGAATATTTTAATAAAATAAAAATAAACTAAATCAAAATTAATTTAGTAACTTTATAATTCCATAGTCTGTACATATATTTAAAGAATAAAGCGTAATAAATTAATATAAAGGATATTCAAATTTAAATTTGAATTTGACATTCATCTTGTAAACTGTTTTGAAGTATATAACGTATTTTATTCAATTTTTTATAAGCAATGATTCTATACTACAATAAAAATGATTTACATGAAATATATAATTATCGTGTATAAAAATTTATTTACATTTATTTTCTCCATGATTCTTAATTCCTTACGACATTATAAATGTCTAATACAATTTAATTTTATATTTTTCTTCATTACAAAGTTCATTCACTTTGAAATCTATTCATTGTATTACAACTATGTCATCATCATTATTATTACAATACATTATTCATTTTTTAATTTTTAATATAAAACTATAAGGTACAATATATTAATTATGTAATTATTTTTTGTAATTAATTTAATCTCGATTTATCAATTTTTATCATATTTATAATATTCAATGTAATAACCAAGATGCGGATTTTGTTTTAAAATTTTTATAAACATTGCTAGGGAAATAGAAGTAAAAAAAATTTCTTTGATCTACACCATTATATTATAATATTGTGTTTTAGATATTTTTGCATTTTATGTGCATTGTGTATAGATTTTTGCAATTTCCAATTTTTCATAAATGCATAAATCCGCATCCCAGTAATGACAAAAGAAAAAATATATTTGAATTATGAATAACAATATTTAATATATTATTTTTTACATTTTTTCATATGATATTAAAATTAACCCTAACAACTTTTATATCACGTACATATAGAAATTCCTGAATTTACCATCTAATATTTAAATAAAAAAAAAATCACATGTTAATGAAATAGAACTTAATTTAGTACAATAAATAAATATAATTCTTAAATTATACTGATTTATTTTTATTTGACTAAATTTTTGTTCTTATCACATTGAGACTCATTTATGTAATTATACTTTGTAATGATATTTTTACGCATAATAATTAAATCTTAATGCAAATAATTGTTATAAGTAAAAATGATTAAATTATATCATACATACATATTTATCAATATTTATCAATATTTTTATTGTCAACTGAATAGATAGATTTATTCATTTAAGTGATTTTTATCAGTTTATAAAATGAGTAAACCTATCTATATAGGTATCAATGTGATAAGCAATGCAGTTTCTATAAAAAATATATTTTATATCGTACGTGTCATGCATCATAAGTTTTTACAGTTACTTAGAAACAATAAACGCATGAAACACTTTTCTTATTTACAAATTAAGAAACAAATTACAATAATAACTACAGTTGCAAGGGTTAATATTATCAGTGAAAAATAAAAAAAAATGCAAATTCAGCAAATTCTTCTATAATTATAATTACAATGGTTCATAATTATAGGATGACTTGAATGCATTAAATATAAGTAAAAAAATGTATACAATATATTATGCAGGATCTATTGCTTTAATAAAAGAAAATAGAATCTTGCTGCCTGATTTTATACTATTAGTTTTAACACGTTGACTGCTACACGATGCATGTTTATATTTGTATTTTTATATACTTTACATATACGTTACATTTTAGTCTAGAAATAAACATAATATTCCTTTAAATTTTATGAAAATTTGTGAATATAACATTTAATATTATGTATTTTATTTAGTAATATATACAAATAATTTTTATAAAAACCTGTGAAATTTAAATATTTCAATGATACAATATAACGTGATTTAATTAACACATTTTGTACAATATATTTTAAATTAAAATGAATATGAAATTCAAAAAATATAAACATTATTTGTAGATGGATTATTATGTCAACCTTAATATCAAACTATATAAAGTCAAGAATATCTATCAGAATAAGTATTTTTAGTGATCACTGCTTTTTGTATTAATAATTTAATATATGAAAAAACATGTATAAAATAAAATCCATCTATGATATAACTACTTAGATATTCATGAAACTCAACCATTTTTAAAAATAATAAATTGAATACGTATATAAACAAATACTTATATTATTTGTATTATAATGAAGATAAATATTTAACTAAATACATGCAATAATATTTAAATTTTGTATTTTTCTCTAAAATAAAATCATTTAAAAAAAATCTTATCTTTTCATAGCAATTATTAATTATTTTGTATAGATTCAAAAGCAAACTGAATGAATATTTATTTTCTTAAAAGTTCAATCTTGTTCAAAGTTTGAATCAATACAATTTTTGTTTATCAATCAAATTGTTTATGCATTAGCGTAATTTGAATATTATACATTCTTATCATAAAAAGGATATATTGTTACAAAAAATTAATATAATACAAAATTTAGTTTTTCAATTAGCTATCAACGTGTTAAAATAAAATAATAAATTTATGTTAACTATTACAAAAGATAACATTTTTTAAGTTAATTGAATTGCACTATCTTTCAACTTTTTACCTTTCTTTTTTACAGTCTTAACTTTCATGATAGTCTTTCCAGCTTTTGTCTTGATTGGTACAGATTTTTCTTTTAATGATTTCATTTGTAACTTCATTTCTGTTTTCGACAATTTCTTGCTTTTCATATTCTTTACACCAAGCTTGCTGTTTTTTTTAACTTTGGTAGGAGTTTGAATTGCTATACCGGATCTTATACAAGACCCGGGTAGCTTGTACTAGGCAGAAACTTTCACTTTCTTCTTCCTTTTTTTCTTCTTCTTATCATGATGAAGTTCTTGCTTTTTGGCTATACAGGAACGACAATACCAATCTTCGTTGACAGCTGGTGGCACTTGCATACCAACACATACCCTACATGATTGAAAATATATAACTTAAGTTCAAAAGATAAATCAAATAAATCTAAAGTTGGAAAAAGATTTTTAAATTTTTAGTATTTTATTTCAGAATGTAATTTGATGTTTTAAAAAAAAAAAAAAAGAAAGAAAAAAGCATTAAGAGGTTAAAATATTTGAGAAAAAAGAAATTGAAAAAATTAATGGAAAAAATGAGAAAGTGTAATTAAGAAAATAATTTGAATGATTAAAATTATGTTTAGATATGTGATTTTACTATTTCCAACATGAAAAGTACAGTTTCATATTTATATTTTATCCCTTGTAATATATAAACATAAATGGTATTTTAATTTATATAATATTTTTATAAAATGGAAAATAATATTAAAGAATATGTAAAAATTAAATTTTTAATATTTTAAATGTTTTATATCAATTTTATATCAATTTTAATATTTTAAATGTTTTATATCAATTTTATACCAAAAAAAGATAAAAACATTTTATTTATATGTATTAAAAAGCAAGTATTTTTCTAATCAAATAACTATTGTTTTATTAACATTTACTTACCAATGATACCATGCATCGCAATCATCACAACCAACCATAGGTGATCCATCATCTTGGTTACCACACGCAGGACATATCCAAACTTGATGACCACTTTGATCCTGAAAGACTCATATGACGATAAAAACACAGTTTCTCTTTTATGATATATTTGGATAACCCAACCCATTTTTGTATCTTATTAACATGTTAATAATATATTGTTAACAACATGTTAATAATATATTGTGACGTTAAATTCTTAACATCTTTAGAAATTAAATTTCATTAATAATAAATAATGTAATTAAAGTAATTAAAAAATTAAGATTATAAAAAAATATATATGTAGCTAATAATAATAAAATAACTAATAAACAATAAATTTGTTACATCTTAAAATTAATAAATATTTTTTAAATATAACAGCACACATAAAAATATTTATATATGTGTAAAACTTGGAAATTGTGTATGTATTTATATATAATTATATGTTATATATATAAATACATAAAATCTTTAGTAAGCTGAGATGTAAATAAAAAGTGATTAATAGTTAAATCAAACTAAAATATTTATGAATTAAAGTAATTATGTAATTATGATTATTAACGTTCATAAATTGATGAAATATCTGTTATGAAAATTAATTAAAATTTTTCATAACAAAATCAATACCTTGAAAGTAATATAGGATTATTATACAATATATTATATTATTGCACAATATATATTTATATAAAAAATGATGTATGTAGATGTATGATTTACTGATTTAATATATATGAATATAAATAAGGAAGGAATAACATATTTATACAGAAGTTAAAATGTTGGCCTGCGGTAATCAAACAAATTTTCACTTGACCCACAAATATATTTTATGATAAATTATTCATTAATAATTTTTATTTCAATTATTCAGAGATCAATAGTTCTTATTGTTAGTTATCAATCTGAGAATAAAAAATTTAGATGCATTTACATTACTAGAATTAGATTTATTACTGAAATTTTAATCACATTTAAATTAAATATTATATATTTAACTATATATAATTACATTGTAATTATATTATTGTCCAAAAAGTCAATTTATTCCAAATATTCAATATCTAGCTTAAAAAAACACATCTACTTTTAATATAAATATATTTGAATCTGATTTATCTAAGGATACATCGTTATTTTTAAATTAAAAATAGTACTTATAGTGAATTATAAATAAAAAATCAAATATGTATATACACAGAATGAATCATCTAATTTTAGGACCAAAAATTTCGCCATTATTTTGAATGATATGAGAAAATATATATTTTTATATTTTGTGTTAAGGGATATAAATATAAGAATTTTTTTTCTAAAACTATGTTTTTCAAAACTTGAAAGTTATTAACAGTATGATATATTTTTTGTTTCTACAACAATTTGAGAAACATCCAAGAATGGATCCATTCTTTTTGGATGGTCTAAACAGTAATTTTTGTAGGAAATATATAATAAATGACGAAGTTCTTATCAAGATACTTCTCATGCCTTAAACATTAAAATTTGTCTAAATAAATAAATATTAAACATGAAAATAGTTTACAAAATAGTTTACAAAATATGATTTTCAAACTATACACTATCTTTTTTTTCATAAAAAATACTTTTCATCCAAATTTAAATAGATGAATTAATTTTTTTTATGTATGTCAATAAAATATGTTAATAATTCTGAAATTATGGAAATTATGATTTCATGAAAAAATTGTCTTCATGATAATATCTGCTTTTTCATAATAAACATGTTTTATTTAAAACATTTTCTTGTGGCACTAAAAATATGGAAAAAAATTAGCATTAGATAATTTATCTTATACAAGACAAAATGCAATGTATAAACATTAAGACGTATGTTGTGTGCTATAAGTTCATTAGCATATAACATGATTATTCATAAAAATAATATTTTTACGTTTTTTTATATTATTAAAGTATTAGTAAAATTTAACTGTTTACCAAACAATTAAACTTTTTAAAATGTACTTTTCATGTACAAATTATAGAATTAACATTTTAAATTTATGTAAAATTAAGCTAAATAAAAGACAATGAAGATTTATTTAAAACGTTCTAAAATAATAATTTTAAAAAATATTTCGATATATTGATTATAAACAGAAATTATAAACAAAAATTTTATATTGTTATATACAGGATGAAGCATTTAAATAGGATCACCTAAATAACATGGTCCTTTTCCGAGACATAAATAAACTTTGTTAATTCAATTTATTCAATATAGCAATAATGTAGATGGTGAGGTTTCGGAATATATTTTTTTTATCTATTAGTTGGTGCATCTTGACATTCTCTATATAAAAATATTAATTTATATATGTCGAAAAACTGCTAACTTAGGAGATATTTTAATTATAATTCTGTAAAATCTATACGTAAGACAATATTGTTCCTGTCTTACCTTGTCTTTCATTAAGATTAATTAAGATTAAAACATCTCTTAAATTAATAGCTTTTGACATAATACATGAGTTAATACTTTCTTATACAGAATGTCGAACTATATCGAGTAATGGATAAAAAAAACATATTATTTCATTTAAAAAAGGTGATTTTTAAATCTTCTCTTATAAAAAAATTATTTCTTCCATATTTATTATATATAATCTCTTATAAAAATATTATTTCTTCCAATCTTTTAAATACTGAATTTTTATTAACAAAGTTTATCTATGTCTTCGAAAACAATGTAGTTATTTAAATAATCCCATTTAAATCTACCCTTAAGTCCATCCTTTAAGTTCACCCTATATATTGTAATAGTATTATATATTTCTATATTTCTTTATATGATTTTAAATAATGTTATGTAAATGAATATATAAATGTCTATATATATATATATATACACATCAATATATATATATATATATACACACATATATATATATATATACACATATCAATAGTTTCAGCATTTATTTTTTATATAATTTTGTAATAAGAAAGTTTTGTTTTATAGAGAGATACAGATAAATATATATAGAGAAAATGAAGGACAGAGAAAAATAATATCTTAATATATAAATTTTATAAGTACATATTAGTATAAACCGTAATATAAAAGAAAAATGATTCTAATTTCAATAGTGACATAAAATAATTTTTAATAAATTCTTGCTTTACTTATTCAGTTTTTAAATTAGATTTAAATATTTTTTTTCATACACAGTTGTATTTATATTTAAATATAAAAATTAGAAATTGTGTATATAATAAGTTATAAATTATATGTATGTATATATTATTTACATCATATTGTTATAAAAAATACATAAATTTTTTATATTAAATATATATTCTTTTTATGTTTTTTTTTTTTTATATACCTATGTACATACTTATACAAATTGTAACTGTTACTAAAGGCAATAGATGTTTTATAAAAACTTTGAAACAGCAAAGATTTTTATCTTAAAAATTGGAAATTTTTCTAACATCATAAATTCAGGCAGAAGCTAAAAACAACGCACAAACCCATATATTTCTATGAAAATGACACAGATAGGAAATAGATGACAGTTTACAAGGAGTACCTAATTACTTTTGTTTAGAATGGGAATGTACTCACCACAGTAGTGGTTGGTGTTGGGGGTAGCGCAATGCCATTTTCTTTGTCTTCTTTAGCATCATCCTTTTTAAGAGCTGCATCTGCTTTCGTCTCTGTGCCGTTAAAACCGTTGGTTATATTCCTAACTGTTCTGCATGCTATGTTTAATAACAACATGCAAATTGCATGCAATCAACCAATCCTTTGCTATTTTGTAAATTATTAAATATTTCTTTTTTGTATTATAGTAGTTATTCATTTAATTTCGAAAACTATGAAGCACTTTGTTCATTAATGTACTTTTCCTTTTATAATATTAAATTTTCTATAATTAAAATTGTTAAATTATCAATTTAAAAATTGTTTATCTTTAAATAAATATCATAATTAAATTTGTTTACAAAAAGGTATTTTATTCTTTCCAAATTTTAATAAACTAAATTAGAATCATGAGCATATAATTTATTTATAATTTTGTGATATATTGATCTCATTATATAATGATATAAATTTTATTTCAAAAAATTTAATATATTAATTTATTTAATATATTAATTTACATAGTCGCAATTAACTATAATATATATTATATATATAATAGATATTATATATATATATATAATAGATAAGTAATATTTTATTATATATATATATATATATATAATAGATAAGTATACATATAGATAAGTAATAAGTAATATATAGATAGATATAACATAGATAATATCTACATATTATAGTTAATTGTGATTATGTAAATTAATTAAATTTTCATATGTATATGAAATGGTGCACACTGTCTTTCTGAATTAAAAAATATTTTAAATAAGAATTAATCTAACTATAAATTGTAATAGTCAAAATAATGAAAAAATGCTTTTGTCATTATACAAAAACAAAGTTACCTTAAATTTTTTAAATAGTACTACATATTTTTTTATTTTGTAACGTGGTAGTTAATGTTAAGAGAAGTTCAATGACTTGCAATATCTTCAAATGACTTGAGACCATTTAAATCTAATATAAATCTAAATTTTATTTATAGAACCGTTAACATATATAATTAGATTAATTAAGACATTAGATCACATTAAACAAATATGTATTGTTTTTTCTGAATTATCACTTCTGAATCGTCGCGAAAAATTAATTTCTTCTACAGATATTTGATTACAATAGGAATCGTGGACAAATGTCCAATGATAAAAATGTTTTCTGGTGATACATTGATAAAAAATGTCAATGATTAACAAAAAATTTATTGTGTTTCAGATTGACTTTTTAAATAACTTATTATAGGAAGACAATTATGTAATATTTTGATGCTGATATTTTGAATATTTTGATAAAAAAGTTCAAGTGATTGTTACTTTTTGTTG